GGGGTCGGCAGGGGGGGCTCCTGATCCTGGCTTCGACGGGACAGGGACGGGGGGATGGCACTGCTTGGGACCCCCAACTCCATGGGGAACCCCCAGAGCTGGATGAGACCCCCCCCCAGGGGGGTTATGGGGGGCTGCGACCCACCCCTCCCCTCAAGGGGCACCGTCAGGAGTGACCCTCGGGGGTCTCACCCCCTCCCCCAGCCTCACCTGTCTGTGTTTCGTTGCCAGGACGGGACCTCCACGCCGGCAGCACCGACGGGGGGTCCCACCAGGACCCCCCAACCCCCCCCCCCCCCCACTACAGGGGGCTGTGCCCGAGGGACCCCCACGGGGCACGTCCCGTCCCCGCGCCCGGTGGTGACACCAGTGGGGGGGGGTCCCAGGGCTCTGGTGACAACCACAGCCGATCCCCCAGTGCCACCACCAGCCGGGCACCACCCCGGGGACCCCCTGGGACCCCCCGAGCCCCTGGGCAGGGACCCCCTGGAGCCCCCTGGGGCTGTTTTTGGGGGTCACTTTGCTGCTGGACCCTCGTGTGGCTGCGCTGGGACGAGGCCTCGGGGGGAGTGGGGGTCTGTCCAGGCCCCCCCCCGACCCCCTCACTGGGCTCTTTTATCCCACCAGCGGGATGGTTTCCCGGCACAGCCGTAATTCCCGCCCGGCACGGGCCATCCCCCCTCCTTCCTCCTCCTCCTCCTCCTCCTCCTCCTCCTCCTCCTCCTCCTCCCGCCTTTCCCTCCTCCGGGACGGGACACGACGGTCCCTTCCCGCACTTTGCCCAATCCTGCGCCGTTTTGCCCCGTTCTGGCACCGCTGTCCTGGCAGTTGTGGGGCCGTGTCCGTCGGTGTCCGTGTGTCCGTCGGTGTCCGTGTGTCCGTCGGTGTCCGTGTGTCTGGCACTGACTGGGCCCGTGTCCGTGTGTCCGTCGGCGTCCGTGTGTCCAGCACTGACCTGCTCTGTGTCCAGGGACTTGCAGGGCCGTGTCCATCTGTCCATCGGTCCAAGGAGCGGCGGGGCCGTGTCCATGTGTCCATCGGTGTCCGTGTGTCCATCGGTGTCCGTGTGTCCGGCACTGACCCACTCTGTGTCCAGGGACCTGTGGGCCTCTGTCCGTCTGTCTGTCACTCTGAGGAGTGGCGGAGCCCTGTCTGTTGGCATCTATCGGTGTCCGTGTGTCCGGCACTGACTGGGGCACTGGAGCTGTGGCCATGTATCCGTCGGTGTCCGTGTATCCGTCGGTGTCCGTGTGTCCGTTAGTGTCCGTGTGTCTGTTGGCGTCCACGTGTCCGGCGCTGACTGGGGCTGTGTCCACGTGTCCGTTGGTGTCCGTGTGTCCAGCGCTGACCTACTCTGTGTCCAGGGACCTGTGGGCCTCTGTCTGTCTGTCCGTCAGTCCAAGCAGCAGCAGGGCCGTGTCCGTGTGTCCGTCGGTGTCCGTGTGTCCAGCACTGACTGGGGAACCGGGACCATGTCCATGTATCCGTCGGTGTCCGTGTGTCCGTCGGTGTCCATGTGTCCAGCACTTACTGTGGTACTGGGGCTGTGTCCGTGTGTCCGGTGCTGACCCACCCAGTGTCCAGAGACCTGTGGGGCTGCGTCCGTCTGTCCGTCGGTGTCCGTGTGTCCGGCACTGACCTGTGCAGTGTCCAGGCTCCTGCAGGACCACGTCCATGTGTCCGTGTGTCCGGCACTGACCCGCTCTGTGCCTGCGATCCTGTGGGGACGTGTCCCTGTGTCCGTGTCCCCACTCCTGACCCATGCCACGTCCAGGGACTGTGTCCCCGTGTCCCTCTGTCCGTGTGCCCACCCCTGACCCGGGCTGTGTCCAGGGGTCATGTCCCTGTGTCCCTGTATCTACCTGCCCACCCCTGACCCAGGCTGTGTCCAGGGGTCATGTCCCCGTGTCCCTCTGTCCGTGTGCCCACCCCTGACCCGGGCTGTGTCCAGGGATCCTGTCCCCATGTCCCCCTGTCCGTGTACCCACCCCTGACCTGTGCTGTGTCCAGGGATCCTGTCCCCATGTCCCCCTGTCCGTGTACCCACCCCTGACCTGTGCTGTGTCCAGGGGCCGTGTCCCCATGTCCCCCTGTCCGTGTACCCACCCCTGACCCCGCTCTCTGTCCCCGCAGCGAGGAGAAGGCCGAGGAGAACCTGCAGCGGCCGCCCAAGGCCAAGAAGGTGAAGAAGGAGCGGAAGGAGCCGGAGCCGGCGCAGCCCACGGCCGAGCCCGCCGAGGCCGGCAAGGCCGAGAGCTCGGAGGGGGCCGGGGCCGCCCCCGCGGCGCCCGAGGCGTCGGCGTCGC